CAACATTCGCAAACTTGGCGCCTAGCTGTGTCTCTGTCATGTTAATAGTTGAGTTTTAGCCCGCGCATTGTTCTATTTAAATCGCGATGACAAGTTCTTCCACAATCTGCTGGTCGAGAGGCTGTGCAAGACAACAAGACTTCAATATTTACTAGAACTATTCTCAGAATGACCACAATCCGCCATGCAATTAGCCTTTTTGCCCTACTCCTCACTAATTGCGAACCCATCCGAGCTTCTGACTGCCTCCAGTCCCCAGATAATTTCCTCCATCCACCATCCCAAGAGCGCCCAAAGTTCAGATACTGGCTTCCAGACGCTAGTGTAAACGCGGGGACTGTAGAAGCGGACATAAAGGCAGCGGGTGACATTGGGGCTGGGGGCGTAGAGTTCTTGCCGTTCTACAACTATGGAGGAGATCTTGGGCCAGCTCCAACCGGGGTAAACTGGTCTACTTACGGCTTTGGTACTCCTGCTCATCTTAATCTCTTCACATCAGCTTTGAAGGCCCATGAACAGGCGGGATTGACCATGGACTTTTCACTTGGACCGAATCAGGGACAAGGCATTCCGGCTCACCCTGATGATGAGGGATTGCAGTGGGACTTGGTAAGTAGTTGCAAATCATCCACAGCTTTCGACGATGGAAACTGCTGAGTCCATTTTACTGAACTCCTTGCACACCTCAGGTTTCCTTCAGCCAAGCTGTCTCCAATCGCAGCTTTCTCAACGAAACAATTCCCGGCTGGGGGGATGGTGAGCTAGTTGCTGTCGTGTCCGCTGTCGTAGTGTCTCGAGCGAACATTTCTTACAACATCGTTGGGATTACCGGCTCGACGACTGTATCTTACCAGGATCTCGTTTTGGAAAATGGATCTCTCACAGACATTACCTCAAGTGTCTCAGGCGATGGCATACTGTCCTGGAAGCCCGCTAGATCCTTGCCCAGTGGATCTGACCACGAGCTGTTCTTTTTCTACGAAAAGCTGTCTCTCAACCAAAACGTTCACTTCCCATCAAATACGACGAAAACCATTTGGGACAATGGGTCGTATATCGTGGACCACTTCAGCGCCCAAGGAGCTCGGACAGTGCAGGCCTTCTGGGAGCAATATCTGCTTACTGACGAGCTGAGAGGACTTTTGAGAGACGTTGGAAATTATGGTGTGATGTCTTCTAAACTTGGTGGCAGTCTTATCAGCTAACTTTGGCGTGATCCTAGGATGGGAGGATAGCATCGAAATTCCTTCGAATGTTTCATGGACCCGCTCGCTTCCAACACGGTTCCAAGGAATGTTCGCATACGACTTGAAACCATACCTGCCTCTCATCATGTTCAGCAACAACAACATCAATCTCCAAAGCACCTCCCCAGGAACTACGCGCTGCAGTTTGAACCGACTGGATCAGGGAAAGGGTTATGTCAACGACTATCGTGAGACTTTGGCAGCAGGATACCAAGAGTACCTCGCCACACTTTCACAGTGGCTTCAGAGTCTGGAAGTCAAAGGACTATCATCCCAGCCATCTTACAACTTACCCATGGATATGGAGGCTTCTATCCCGTTTGTTGACGCTCCCGAGTGTGAAAGTCTTCAGGGGCACGACAACATCGATGGGTATCGGCAATTCTCTGGTCCAGCAAATCTCGCGCGGAAAAAGATCGTCTCCATCGAACTTGGCGCGGTTTTTGGGAAGGCATACAGCTACACAATTCCAGAGCTGCTCTTTGCCGCGAATCGCGCCGTTGCAGGTGGTGTGAACCAATTCGTTATTCACGGGCAGTCATACACCGGCAACTATCCCCAAACAACGTGGCCGGGGTACACGGCATTCATCTTCTACGTCTCAGAACTATATTCGCCCAAAAGACCAGACTGGAATCACGGCCTTCAGGCAGCCTTGAGTTACATGTCGAGGTTGCAGCATATCCAGCGACAGGGTGTTCCACGTGCCGATATCGCATTCTATAACAAACAATCTGCTACTGATCCAAACTTTGGAACGGTGTACGCGCCGACGGATTTGATTGATGAAGGTTCGTAACATTGCGGATCAAATTGGGTCATAGACCGGCCACTGACAATGCTTAGGTTGGTCTTACACTTACCTGTCACCGAACAACTTTGACATGCCCAATGCATATGTTGAACACGGTATGCTTGCGCCCCAAGATGCAGCATATCAAGCCATGGTTATCCTCGGATCCCAGAATTTGACGCAACTCTCAATTACGAAGCTGGAGAGCTTCGCGAAAGTTGGGTTGCCTATCATCGTGGCCGGCTCAGTGCCGGGGCTGTACCCTTCAGGGATGCAAATCAATACTGGCCATACTCCTGCAAACAATGAGTTGATCAAGTTTCTGAATAACACGAACGTACATCACGTTGCAGAGGGTGAGATATCCCAGAAGCTGAACGAACTGAGTCTCAAGCCACGAGTCGGGGTGAGAACCAACGGCACGTGGTATTCCACATGGAGGGAAGACAAAGAAAGTAGCATCGCCTACGCCTACATATTTGGTGACTTGGTCGCAGCAACCGGAGAAGTGGTGGTTCAATCAAAGGGTATTCCCTATTTCTTCGATCTCTGGACGGGAGCCCGCCAAGCGGTTCTCAATTACCGGACCAACGGATCTTCGACAATCATCCCACTCGAACTCGCAGGAAATCAGACAATGGTGATTGCGTTCGCCGACAAAGCAATCCGTGGCACTATAACTCCAGCCATTCATGCTACTCAAGTTTCATCGAACATCGTTGGCTACGGCCCCGTTGGTGATGGCATTGGATTACACGTCGTTGCGTCTTCAGATCCAGCATTCGTCACATCGTCGACCGGCAACAAAATCACTCATTTCAGCCAAGCCCCTGACTCCTTCGAGTTGGGGCCGTGGACTCTGGTTCTTGAGCATTGGGAAGCTCCAGAAAATTTCAGCGATGCAACCATCACAGCTGTCAAGAGCAACACGACTCACCAACTCAGCAAGCTTGTCTCATGGTCGGATCTTCCATATGCAACGAACACGTCTGGGGTTGGCTACTACTCCACAAACTTCACCTGGCCGCCGGAATCGACTACTAGCAGTGCTCACAACACGTCCCTTGGTGCCTACATGAAGTTCCCGCCTGTGTTGAACGCGATAACGGTCTATGTTAATGGCGCCAGACTGCCTCCGCTGGACTCAACCAATCCTACTGCTGACGCCACGTCGTACCTGGTGAAAGGAAACAACCACGTTGTCACCGTTGTGCCGGGTACGATGTGGAACTACCTTCGCAGTATTTTGCCCGAGATCAGGAGCTCTGGGCGAGAGTTCTCATCAATGGTAACTCTCCCCAAGACCGACAATGGACTGATTGGTGTTGTAGCGGTCGTGCCTTTTGAGATCGTCCCTCTGAAAGCTTAGGACGTGGCCCTCGGACAAGGCAATGATCAACATGCAGGAGGAGCGCACGAAGACATCGCTCAGGTGACAGATAGCCCGAGAAGTCTCAGCCATTGAATAAATGCAGTGATATGAGGACTGAATCTGAGATTCTGATCGGAGTGAGGTGTGCAAAAGTACAAGAACAGTATTTCCCTGTCTTGTTAGTGTCAAGCCGATTATTCCATGTAGTTGACTGAATCTGAAGGCAATTTTCGGGAGTATCCTTCTCTGCCGTTGCGCCTTCTGGGCTCAGAACAAACCACAGTAATCACTGCAGATTGCTAACCTTCCATATCTCGCCATATATTGAAGTACATAGGTAGGTAGAAGACGTGGCCAAAGTGCGGCTGCTCCATATTTGATGTTGAACGGGTATATTCTTACAGGCAAGGATGAAAAGGAATGAAATACAAAATACCAATCACTCCACCGCGCTCACAAAGCCCCAAGAGCCTGGGAGCATCTGGCCCAGAGAGCCCACGATTGGCACATAGTTAGGCGTGAGTATGTTACGAGGAAGTTGCCGTATCCCATCTCCATACGTGTATTCTACCCCGCTTTCACATCCCGGCCAACCAGACTGCCAGCAGTACGCGTGTTTGACTGGGACGTCACTTCACCCAGCCACGATGTCAAGGCTTGATTGAAGCAGGTGACTTCACTGCTCACTTTTGACGTAACGGTTCTTGATGAATTTCCGGGAGAATGGGAATTTCGAAAAGATTCGGGCCGACCTCATAAGGTAGTCTTCGGGCCAGAGGCGGGGCAGATCACAACTGCCGGACCGCTCACATTAAGATGGTCACAAGGAATTGAAAGAAAGCCAAGCAATTAACCCGGCCCGGCAGCTTACGCCATGCTGTTCTCATGAGTCCGCGTTCTCAAAACGACCCTGCGATTGGGATGAATAATCATCCTCGAAGCACTGAGATCACCGTGGCCTCCTTTGCACTGGTGCCTATGCAAGTTTTCGTAATCCCATTATATACTAAGTACGCTGATCCTGGGACTGGCACAATATACGTGTAGCTTCGGCTCCAATCGTACGAATACGCGTATGATACGTCGACGTTTACATACCCTGCACTTCGCTTCCGCTCTCTTGCGCTTCGAAGGGACATCTTAAGTGGCGTAGAGTACGTGACGGTTCTGCTGGCAAGGTCGCGCCTTGCCCAAGGTATGCCCCAAACCCAGGAACCTCTGCGTCGGGCAAATTGTTACCCTATTATGCTATATCCGCTCCTATGCGAGTAGAGCAGATCGCATCGAAATGGATGTCGTGCTTGGGGACCACAATAAGCTTGGCCCATTGGACACTGATATCAACATCATAAGAGCAAAGGCACTTTGTCATACCCTGCGACCGTCAACGCGAAAGCGAGAATGCATGTACTATTCAACAGGTCGGCGCAGCTTGGCAATTGAAGTGCATATTTATGTCAAGATTGATGGCTGTCAACATAAGTAAACAGGCTATCTGGTTGATAAAGATATAAGGCGTGTTCCAGTTTCAACCAAATCCAGTTGTTCCATCCGAAATTACCAAATGGTTTCCGATTGAGAAGTCGAGATGAAGCTTTCCTCTTTCTTGGCTGTTACTAGCCTCTTCTTTTTACCCCCCACCGATGCTTTTCTCAGCAGATCCCATATCAAATCCACCAATATCACTCAGGATCTAGTCAGATGGGACGAACACTCACTCTTTATCCGAGGGGAGCGTATCGTCATCTTGTCCGGCGAGTTTCACCCATGGCGTATTCCTTCACCAGGACTCTGGTTAGACGTGCTCCAGAAGATCAAAGCGGTAGGTTATAACGCAGTGTCATTTTACGTCAACTGGGCCTTGCTCGAGGGCAAACCAGGCGAGGTACGCATGGACAATGTGTTTGATCTTCAACCTTTCATCGACGCCGCCGTCGAGGCTGGACTCTATCTCATCGCACGACCTGGTCCCTATATCAACTCTGAGCTCTCTGGGGGCGGCTTTCCTGGCTGGTTACAGCGCAATAAGGGTGAATTGAGATCAATGGCCCCAGATTACACCAACGCAACGGAAAACTACATTTCAAGCGTCCTTCGCGTCATCTCAGCTGCTCAGATAACCAACGGCGGACCCATAATCCTTGTGCAGCCCGAAAACGAGTACAGTCTAGCGGTCGGAACAGCCAACCCGGTTGAGTCAACCAAGCTATTGGACCCAAACTACATGGTTTTTATGGAAGACCAGTTTCGACGAAATGGTATTGAAGTTCCTTTGATTGGCAATGACGCCGTGCCTTTGGGCAACTGGGCGCCTGGATCTGGAAAAGGGGAGTTGAACATCTACGCGCATGACGCTTACCCTTTTTACAAAGGATGTAAGTTTTCTAACGACCGCTTCAGTCATGTCTGCTGATTGAGTATTTAGGCGATCACCCCACGGACTGGACGGATCTCACTGCTTTAAGTTTGACGTATACGTATCAAAACCATCTGCAGCAGAGCCCAAGCAGCCCCTATGCCGTATTGGAGTACCAGGGGGGTGCCCCCGATCCATGGTAGGCCCATGCTATTTTCTAGTCCCTCTCGTCGATATTGGTGCTGATTGATCAAAGGGGAGGTGTTGGCCTAGATAAGTGCGCAGCAAAGATTAACCAGGACTTTACCCGTGTCTTCGTGAAAGAGCTTGTGTCGCGCTCTATCAAGATACTCAATCTCTACATGGTATGCTTTTCTCCCGTCTTGCATTGGCTGGTCACTAAAGTGGCGGATAGACATATGGCGGGACAAATTGGGGGAACATGGGTCACTCAGAGGGCTACACTTCCTACGATCATGGTGCTTCCATTAGAGAGAATCGTGGGATCGACCGGGAAAAGTACAGCGAGGCCAAGATCGAAGCCCATTTCCTCCGTGCTTCCGAGGCCTATCTCACAGCCATCCCCCAGAACGCTACGTCTACCGAGTTTGTTAGCACACCAGACCTCCAAGTTGTTCCAATCGTAGGGGACAAGACTCGGTTCTACGTTGTGCGCCATACCGATTACACCTCACTCAACCGCACTTCCTACAAACTCAATGTGCCGACATCTGTCGGCAACATCTCCATCCCCTTGCTAGGCGGCGATCTGTCGCTACATGGGCGAGACTCTAAAATCCACATCACAGATCATGATGTCGGCGGCACCAGCTTGATCTACTCGTCAGCGGAGATATTCACCTGGAAAACCTACGGAAACAAGACACTGCTCATCTTGTACGGAGGCGACGGCGAAGAGCACGAGTTCGCTGTGCCATCCTCGTTAGGATTACCGCATTTTGAAGGTAGCAACGCGACAACGCGCACTTATGGCAGCTTCAGAGCTGTTCACTGGGTGGTCCAAGAAAGGAGACAGGTTGTGCATTTCGAAACCTTCGAAATTCATCTCCTATGGCGCAACGACGCCTACCGCCATTGGGTCCTTGATCTTCCCGATACTAATGATGGATTGATCAAGCCTACTCTAGGGAAGTCATCAATCATTGTCAAGGGGCCTTATCTTCTGCGGAATGCAACTTTTGCTGATGGAGTTCTCCATTTGACGGGAGACATCAATGCTACTACGACTCTTGAGATCCTAGGTGGGGTCCCTTCGAACAGCCCTCTTACCTTCAATGGCCGCCCCCTTTCGAACGCCCAATGGAAGAATGGCAGGCTCCAAGCTGAGCTCGTCTTCGAGAGTCCAGCTCTCAACCTGCCCGTCTTCCCCGAACTGCAATGGCATTCAATCAATTCGCTCCCAGAGATATCTAATAGCTACGACGATTCCGCCTGGACCGAGGCAGCGCTAGAGAAAAGCAACAACCCTCGCAATTTAACGACCCCAACATCGCTCTACTGCAGTGACTACGGGTTCCATGGCGGTTCACTCATCTATCGAGGCCACTTCACCGCGACTGCTAACGAATCATTCTTCAACGTGACGACAGCAGGAGGCTTTGCTTACAGCCACTCTGTCTGGGTTAACGACACCTTCCTCGGGTCTTTTGCTGGAGATTCTCACACTGCTAACTCAACGCAAGTTTTTGATCTTGCTGGACTAAAACTCGAGGGCCCTTCAGTCTTCACTGTCGTCATTGACCATATGGGCATGAGCATGAACTTCTGGGCACGATCTGACTGGATGAAGCTTCCACGCGGCATCGTTGACTTTTCACTTGGTGGTCATCAGCAGTCCGACGTGAAATGGAAGCTCACCGGTAATTTTGGAGCCGAAAGCTACATTGACAAGACGCGTGGTCCATTGAATGAGGGTGCATTCTATGCCGAACGACAAGGCTATCATCTTCCAGGGGCACCCACATCTGACTGGGCTTCAGTGACACCATTTGAAGGCATCAAGACAGCCGGTGTAGCTTTTTATAAGACGGAGTTCCCCTTGGATATGCCAATCGGCTACGACATCCCTCTGAGTTTTGTCATCTCGAATGTGACGGCTTCAACCGGAGCGTCGAGCCTCTTCCGCGCGCAACTTTTCGTCAACGGGTACCAATTTGGCAAGTATGGTGAGTGAGAACCTTGAACCTCCCACCTTTGATATCGTTACTGTACATCTAACCCCCATGCAGTCAACTATCTCGGCCCGCAAACGCGCTTCTCTGTTCCAGAGGGCATCCTCAACTATAACGGCAACAACACGGTGGCACTTACTCTTTGGGCTTTGGACGGATCGGGTGCACGTCTCGAAGGGTTCGAGTTGGCAGCGGACCACATCATCCAGTCAGGCTACCGAAAACCTGGGCAGACACCTCAACCGTCGTGGGTGGAGAGAGTCGGGGCGTACTAAAGAGATCTCCTTTGGAGAGCACCAACTTTTCATTCCAGTGTATATTTGTCCTCAAAGAGCCTATATTCGTGGCTTTTGGAGCGATGTGCTTCGACAAGGTATTGCTGTAAAGTTCCATTAGTACTTGGGCTTCTTCGGAAATCGTCAAAAGAGGCACAGAATCTTTTTCGCGAATTAAAGTCATGGCCATCAAATACTTTGCGAATGATCGACGAGCTGAAAGCAGTTGTATGTGGTGTTGAGGCGCAGTCGTTGTCGATTGCACACATTCGAGACACCAACCGGCTCCGGGGAACGGACGTAACACAGGGCGACCGAATCTGCCTTGCGCGCCCTTTCAGGGCATGTCAATCAACCTACGCATGACCATAACTCCTCTCTCGGGCGGTGTGCATACCATCGGCTTCCGGGACGCTAAACCAGATTCTCTTACCGCAGCTTCGGCCCCGTGGCATTGAGTGCTGCAACTAGGTGAATCCGGGCTTAGCGGCGCGGAATATGCGCCGCTGTCAAGGTTCACAAGCGACTTGGCAGGCAGTTCCTGAGATGTCGTGCGTGACCCTTGCATTTCAGCTCTTGAGAGATAAATGCTCGACTACTGTCCACGTCCCGTCATCAACGTCTGGCAAAGCCCGGAGAACGATTTGATATTAGCACACAGAACTGCAACATGCCGCCGGTATTTGAAGATCCTTGGCCCAAGGAGAGAGTCAACAGTTCGCTTCAACTCGCCGCATCAGTAAGTGACCACATTGTTTCAAGGGATGGTCCATGTCTGACCTCGATGGCTGTGTAGAGTCATATCCAGCTCATTGAGATTTTCCTGAAACTCATACCGCACTTCAAACATGACGATGCTGGCGGTATCCACGACGAAGCTCTAGCATATTCGGAGTGGCGCTATGTGAATTACATCCGCTACCTGCGCATCTATGGTGTTGCGCCGCATGACTATCCACCCCCTTGGTGAGTTCCCATTCTCAAACTAAATTCAATGTGTTGACTCAGATTACTCGGTAGGGATGTAGCCATCATCTGGTACTGCCATCTCCTATCGCCAGGCAAATTCCACCGGTATCTTTGGGATGGAGGGTATCGCGACTACGGCTTAAACCATCATCACTTCCCAGTGAAGCGCCTACTAGACCTCTATAACTCTGGCATATGGTCCGACAAAAAGGCCCAGAGGAAATGGGGGAGCTATAATATGAGAGATGACAGTCACAAGCTGCCCTTCCAACTGTGGCGGTACCCGCCGTGGCAACCCGAGCGAAAGTCGAAGCTGCTGTCACGTTTTTCGAACAAGCAGCCGTGTATGCATATCAAAGCTGACCCGGCGATCATGATGCACGACGTTGATCAGCTAGCCTATTGTACCATTATGGGGAAGAGAGAATGGAAATTGTCAGAGTGGACGGATATGAGGATCGGGAAGAGGCAAGACGTCTGTTTCAGGAACAACCTACATAGTCGGGACGGAGAATTGTGTCAGTTGGCACCCTGGCCCACTCTCGACGACCTGCGAGAGACTTTGAACAGTCAGATTGCATTTTGGAAGACGGTCATTCAAGCAAAAGAGAGCGATATTTCGTTTGCCGCGAGTCTCGGCCGCTCAATTGGCGATTACGAACAGTTCATCAAGCTGCTTGGAAGGCCTGCCGAAGGAACCTTCACCTCACGCCCATTGGAATACGACATGGACACAATCTTTCGGTCCAAGTCAGGAACCCACCTGTTGAAAAGCCGCTGCATTGTACCCCCAACCCTAGCCATAGATCTTCTTTGGCATACACATCGGCTTTACCCAGGATCTTACTGGGTGTGGAGCTTTAACGTCGCCAGAAGGCTCATCGACTATGAGCATGTCACGTCGGCCGCTGCAGCACAACTATTTTTGCACGACACGAGGAACGAATGGGCGAAGAAGTATAGCAAGGACTGTCCCAAAGATCCTGTCATGGATAACTTGGGAGGAGACGGCTACGTCCCCGATGCAGCAGCTGTTCAACCTGGTCATCCTGCCAAAATCAAGGCAAAGTTCGGGCTCGGTGGCACTAATCCTATCAGGAAGAGAAAGAGACGCACAAAGGGCGAGTACTTCGTCTTTGACGGAGTCTATGTCTCTTTCGATAGTGGTGATTGCGGTGGAGGGGATGGTGGTGGCGGCGGCGGCGGCGGCGGCGGGGACGGAGGATGCGGCGGTGATGGCGGTGGTGGAGGAGGTGGAGGTGGCGATGGGGGGTAATAGCGTTGATTGAATGGGATTTGCACATTTTGAGGCAGCTACTATTTGAGATGTGGCATTATCATTATTATGGTGCAGTTCTAGCTGATTGCAGTATGGGCACTGTTAGTTTCAAGCCAGGGTATGTTTGCTGAAGAAGTCCATAATATACGAAGACGCATTGTAGGATGCCGGACCATCTCCGTGCCCCTTGTTGTCCGCATTCGCCCCAGTGTAGGGCCAACTATGATCAACATCATGCTCATAGACGTGAGTGACGAGACCCTTTTTGTCACCTGATCCCCAGCGATACATCTGTGCACGAGAGGTGATATTCTTCTCGCATGCCTTCTCGGCAAGACCATCACGAAGAGCCCATTCGGTTACCCAGTGAAAGACATCAGGCAAGCAAGCGCCGCGGCGGCTAGGATTGCCTTCGTAGGGAATAGTTCCATCGATTCCACCGTGAAACTCAATGAGAGGTATGTTGGACCTTCCGGGGTTGCACGGAATATCGACGGTCTTGGGATTGCAACCCTCTGCACCCTCGATGTAATAAGAGCCAGAGACGGGGGCAAAAGCAGCGAAGCGCGTTGAGAGTTCTTTGTGGCAGGCAGCATAGTTGACAAAGCCGCCGCCGTTGGATTTACCAGTCATGAAAACGCGGTTTGTATCGATGCAATAGGTTTTCTCGAGGTCGTCCAAGACATTGCTGGTGTACTCAATGTCGTTTCTCTTGGTGATATTGGGAGTACCTTCCCATCGTTCCTGAAATATCACGTCAGCCTCTTTCGTGAGCTTCTCCGACAAATGTTGCTTACCTGGTATCCGCGTAGATAAACGACGATGTGATCCGTATTGAAGTACGGCGTTTCCAGACGGTCAAGATCTCGCTGAGACTCTGGTGTTCTAGTCCCACCATGGTAGGAGAATATGATCGGGTTATTGGACTTTGTAGAGTACTTCGGTGGCAAGAATAGGAGATAGTCTCGAGATCGGCCGTCTTTGTCGGTGTAAGGAATTGTGTACTCGTTCCCAGGTGCACGCCCCTGTGGTAGGGCCTTGGTGCATTGAGCAGATGCGGTCTCACTCCTTGCTGGTGTCGTCAAAGCTGCCACGACAGATGCCGACGTGCTGAGGGCCAGCGTCAGAAAGCGTGAGGAAACCATAATAAGATCTATCCTGAGGGATGAAGCGGTATCGAACGTGGCAGGAGAGAAGTACTTCTTTCATAGACAAAAGACACCGAAGTTATAATTACCGGCGACTGTCGTGAGAACCGCTATGAAATATATACGCAATCGCGGATCATAACAGCCGGAGTAGGATCAGCGCTACCCGGGCCTAGTTGTCACTAAAGCCTTCTGGGTCTCACCATGTGCCGACAGAAATTACGAGAACACGGGTTGATCGTCGCCAGGTGTAAGCACGTTTCCCAAAAGGATCGCTAGGCACCGGCTTAACTCCCCTAGAAGACCCTCTCAAATTGGAGAATGATTCCTTTTCAGGGCACCTCGTCGCGCATTTGTTGGGTTATCCACCGGAGAAGATTTCAGCCCCCCGGGATTTGACCGTGAAGGATGCAGAAGAAACCTTAATATTCCCCGCATGCACGCGATTCGGATCGCAAATCAAGGAACGAACTCGGGAATACGGCATATTTCCACGAAGCCACAGCTCTACAGTTGATGGGCACCGTGTTAGATTACACTCGTGCTACCGCATCTATGTAGTCCCGCGTTGTCAGCATGCTAAGCAGGTCGGGCAAAGACGGAACCACTGCGACGTTCAACTAAGAAACATTTCAGAACGGACACACTGAAGTTGGTCTAATCTATAACGGTCGAAGGATGTCTTCGGATCTTTTTTTCTGAACAAGCCATTGCTCGTTGCTTATGGTGTCTGGTTCTCAGTAACCTGAAATGACCGGCTCCTGTCTTCACAATGGTCACGTCACTCCGCCAGCGCAAGTCCAGAGGCGCATGACGCAAAAGGAGATGCAGTTGCTCCATAGGCAATTGACGCTTTCTTGAATTCTAGTAATGTTCTAGAAAATGTTCAAAATGATTGTCGATTCGCCGTCACATCAAATCATCTCAGCAGGTTCGGAAACATATCGGGAACATAAGCTCAATTCGGACGAATCGCTAGATGCCGGGTCACTTTTACCTCATTCAGCGTCTGTAGCTGGAACGAAAACTCCGCTCCGCAACGCCAATTTGAGCCCAGAAATGCGCGGAGTTGAGCAATTGTCAACGGCCGATGGTCAAATTTACTACGGGGTTATGGACATATAAATATTCGGCGATTTTTAAGCTTTCCAAATTAATCAATCCAAACTCTACTCGAGCAGCCAACCAAGTACCAAATATTTCTCAACTCGACGGCAGAGACCGACGCGACTGAGAATGGGTGACACTATGAAAGCTTGGCAATATTCTGCCATCGACGGCAAGCTCGAAGATTCTCTTGTTCTCAACAAATCAGTGCCCAAGCCAAGCTCCTCAACCTTAAGCAAAGATGAGCTCCTTGTCGAAGTCATCAGCGCATCGCTCAACCCAGCAGACTACAAAGTCCCCGAGTCAACTCTAATCGGACGTCTCATGGTCGCGCGCCCCGCTACGCCTGCCATGGACTTCTGCGGCCGCGTTGTAGCCACACACACCACAAATTCCAGCTTTCAAGTCGGACAACTTGTATTCGGTGGATATGCTGGCGTTGGGCAGAAAGGCACGTTGGCAGAGTACATTGTCATCTTGGGAACTCACTGCGCACCCCTCCCGGAAGGCATTGACCCTGATCTGGGCGCGGCGGTTGGCACAGCAGCGACAACAGCCTGGCAGTCTCTGATACCGGATATCCTGCAACCTGGCGGCAAGGTGTTTATCAACGGAGGGAGCGGCGGTACAGGCACGTGGGCTATCCAACTAGCGAAAGCCTTAGGCGTTGAGGTCGTCACGACGTGCTCCACCAAGAACATCGAGCTCTGCCGAGAGCTTGGCGCGGATGAAGTCATTGACTATAAGAAGGATGACATCGCGTCGAAGTTGAGGGATCGGGGTAAGGTCTTTGATCTCATTATCGACAACGTGGGCAACAGTACCGGGCTGTATGACCGCAGCAGCGCCATCTTGAAGCCTGGTGGGACTTTTGTCATGGTGGGCGTCGGAGAAAGTCTGACGCTTTCAGGATCGTTCTCGATGTTGAGCAAAATGATTTGCCCAAAGATTATGGGGGGGCACCAATTTTATTTCGTGCGGATGCAGAACAGCGCGCACTTTTTCCGACGAATTGGCGAGTTGATGGCACAGGGAGAAGCCAAGGCAGTAATTGATTCCACGTTTGAGTTCGACCAGGTGCCGGCCGCTTATAGAAGACTGCGGGATGGACACGCCAAAGGCAAAGTTGTTGTTCAAGTAGCGAAAGTCAAGGGTAGCAGGGCTTTGGGTTGATTGAATACGTACATCTCACAATAGTTACTTAGTATTGTGTAGGCCTAGGTGATATTACTGTAGCCGCGGAGTATTATTGCTGCTCGGTAGAATTGAAGATGTGAATGACTTGATCATCGAGCTCTCGACACGATCTGCATCTTTTGGAGTCCAAAATGTTCTACTTAGCTCAATTTAACCCCTCGGTTCTTGAAAAGAAACTTGATGGTGTTTACTCAAACCTTTCCAATCCGCAATGTTAGCACTCTCGGCACTGCTCCCCTTCCTTCTCCGCTGTCTGGACTTATCTTGAATACGGAGTACCTAGCCCCTATTTGGGGTGAAGCTCTTCCACTCCTACCCTGAGTGCCCGCGTCGGACAAGGAAGTGCTCCTTCTAAGAATGGAGACGCCCGTTACTCAAGTTACCGGTCTTACGCATGTGCATGCATGCAAATTAGAGATGCTTTCTAGAATCGTTCGAACGGGACCGAATGTGGGGCTCCCGTCACACCTACTTAGAGTAGTCACTGCGACCCACACGTTGAATCCGAGGACATCCGCGCAAAGTCCCATTTAAGCCCGGCGTGCGTCGGTCGGTATCCGGGTCCGGAGTGCGGCGTGTGACTCAGGCCGTCCGCGGAATGTCAGCATCCAATGACAACGCGCTCTACCCGAGGTCTATCCAAAGTCCCAAATCGGACAGCAAGGAGCTAGAATTAAAGGCTAGTTGTCCGAGGCTTACGTTACGATCTTGGCGAATTGCTGAGCCTCGATTTTGGAGATCCTCATCTTCTTAGGGGCATTGAGGCTTTGGGCTTTGAAATTTCTCGCTACATTTATCATGAAAGACTTATAAAAACCATCTTCGGTCGCCAATTGTCATAACAAGAATAATGTTCGATACACTCATCAGTCACATCACCTCTCACCTCAAACCGCGATTCGCCTGGTCACCACGAGCTTTACAAGCTCAGATCCCCATCGCGATGTCTCTGTCCCTTGCTCAAAACTGTGTCCCGAGCACCTTCGGCCCAGTCCTCTACGGAGCTGAGATTTTGTCTCTTGAGGCGAACCTAGTCACCAACTACAGCGCCTCCGTCCCCGCAGCTTTCCGATACACCTCCCCGGCCGTGCAACTGACGAACGCGACCTTTTGCAATGTGACCATCACGTATACGCACCCGGGCCAGAACGACAACCTCGTCACCGAGGCATGGCTTCCGGAAAACTGGAATGAGAGGTTCATGGCTGTGGGCGGAGGGGGCTGGGTCGCCGGCCGCTTCTTCTTGAGCTACAACGCAATGAACGGAGCCATTGCGGACGGTTTTGCGACCATCACAACGGATGCTGGCCTCGGATCTGCGAATGAGCCAAGTCCGTGGGCGTTGAACAGCCCTGGCAACGTCAACCTGTACAACTTGCAGAATTTGGCATCCGTTTCCCTCAAGGACGAGGTAATCATCGGTCGCACTTCTCAAATGAGGCCCTGTAAAGCTTATGAGTGCTGATCACAAAACCCCCAGGCCATTATCGGCAAGTCTTTGATCAAGAGCTACTACAGCCAGGACCCACAGTACTCCTACTGGGCCGGCTGTTCCCAGGGTGGACGACAAGGGCTCATGCTTGCCCAACGCTACCCCGACATCTACGACGGCATAGTAGCAGGCGCCCCGGCAATCAACTGGAACAAGCTGGTGAGCTTCGTCTACTGGCCCCACCAAGTAATGAACGAGCTTGGCGCGTTCCCTTACCCTTGTGAGTTCGACGCCATCGTGAACAAAGCAACCTCCGAATGCGATCCTCTAGATGGAGTCACGGACGGAGTCATCTCCGACATCGCAGCCTGCTTCAAGTCCTTTGATCCTTTCTCCCTCGTCGGCCAATCGATCACCTGCGCCCAGAAAAATGGAACTCAGCAGATTATCTCAGAAGCCGCTGCGACGGTAGTGAATGCTACGTGGCACGGCCATGTCACCGCGGATGGCCAGCGGCCGTACCACGGTATCTTGCCTGGAGCCGACTTTACGGGTAACAAGCCGACGTCCTTCAGCCAGCCGGGCATTGTGATGACGAGCTGCAACGAGCAAGGCTGCACAGATGAACCATCTAACCTCGGTACCGCCTGGTTCAAGCTTTTTATCGCCAAGAATGAGACCTTTGACTTGACAGATATGAGCCGCGAGGAGTATGATGCGCTGGTGTACTCTGGTCGCCAGCAATATGAGTCGATTGTCGAGACCGCCGACCCCGATCTGAGACAGTTCAAGGCAGCCGGAGGCAAGATGGTGACTTTCCACGGTTTGGTACGCATGCATCACTCGGATTCTGTACCAAGCAATTAGCGAGCTAACATTCTGTCTGCAGGCTGACAACATCATCCCGCCTGGTGGTACCGAAGACTACTACAAGGCAGTGAACGAGGTCATCCCTGATATCCAGGACTTCTATCGCTACTTCGAGGCTCCCGGCTTGGGCCACTGCTTCGGCGGTGTGAGCGGCTCCCCTACTGGCCTCTTCGAGCAGCTTCGCAACTGGGTTGAGAACGGCACCGCGCCTGATCAGACGCCTATCCAGATCTCTGTCGGCAATGCGACGCACAACCGCATCCTTTGCCCGTACCCCGAGAAGTCGATCTTCAACGATGGCTGCGGGGATGCTTCCAAGGCCGAGTGCTGGTCTTGTTCCGAAAGCCCCATCAAGTCCAACACCACCAAGAGGGCTGCACCAATGTTCCACGGGCTCTAATAGTGTCGTCTCAATACTGATGAGGGTTCTATTACTTGACAAGAATGTTCTTCTTTTCCGCTCACCGCAAGATTTCTTTTCACGAGACTTGCGGCGCGATGAAAACTTACTTTTCACTTCTTCTATGTACATTATATAAAACACATGCATACTTCCTAGTCTACAATGTTGAACCACTTGGTCGTGATCTTAGTCAATTTCGCTCATCGTCGTTCCCTAGCTTTCATGCTATGTCCATTCTTTCGCCTTCTTTCAACATTTCATTTGGCCATTCCAGCCATTCTTTCCAGTAAGTCCCAAGATGATCTGAAGTTGCCCGGATAAGAAACTCCCCAGAACCGCCCACGGCCCAATAGTCTTTCGCCCAATGAAGTAGCACGGCATAATAAGACAACAAGACCAGAGCTTCAGGACGTCTTTGTTGAAGGAGTCTGATGTACTCTTGTGACACTCGCACAGGCCATTCCTGAATGACGACGAGCCTGCGACTTTCCTCCGAACGTACAGAATCGAAGAGATACTGCAGAATCTTAACAACATCTATGTAAACACCCCTCGTTTGTTCGTTCATCTCATTTTCATTCAGCCGCCGGAGCAAGCTATCACACTCGTTGCCGTGAAGGACTTGTGTGCCATTCTCCATAGAATATGCCGGATTGTGGGGAAGGATGTTCTGCATATGGCCATGGAACTTTCCCATGGATTCCGCGACAATGCCACGGATTCCGTGATGAAGTGTCAGACATTGAACGAGCTTGTCGAGCACGGTAGGTATCGAGGTTGCTGCGGCGAAGGCTTCGAACAAGGTCTGTTGACCAAGTAGGAGGCTGAAACAGAAGAGCGCCATGACGTTATCTTCGTTAACTTGCAACCCGCCGATATCCAGATGCCCTATGGCTCTCGTTTGGAGGCCGGTCGCTTGGGTGAGGTACAACGTCGTTGTTTCTTCGTCATTGGCGACTGTGCTCCTGTAGGCGGCGGTGAAGGCCAGGACCTGGTCCATCAAATATGGCGCCTTCAACGCTTCAGAATAGATCAGACGCATCATTGGGCCCATTTCGGACTGCAGGGAGACGAGGACATCTGTGAGAGCCCCTCTAAAGAAGAGGAGTAGATCGAAGTGGAACAAGCTGAAGCGTTCCGAGAAGAAGTCATCTGACAACTCTGATATATTCAATGACGTAGTCGCGCCATGAGGATCTGGTACTGCTGAGGGCAGTTGTAAGTGACGACTAGAGGAAACCGAGGATTGCGGGCTCAGAGCTTGAGGAGTGGACAAATGTGCCGGTGTTTGGGCTGGTGGCGTTGGTAGACTGCTGACCAGCTCTCGGTAAGAGCAATTTCTTCCCGCGGTCTTGCATCTAATACAAATCGGCCGAGACTCATCGCATTTGACCTTTCGTTCTTTGCATTCTTTGCATCCAAGGCGGGACTTTCTGTGCTTTGGCATTGTGGATATAAGACAGGCTCGGGTCTGAACAAAGCGAACGTTCGGACTACGATGCTCTGCGATTATGGAATCCGGGAGCGAGTGAATGGCCAACTAGGGAAAAACAGACAGAGAAGAAAGTTTAGTGAATTGCGTTTCCGAGTGTCAGATCGGAAAGTGAAGAGTATGTATGGGCGAGATGGGCACTGGAGACATGAGAGGCGAGGCGAAGACGGCTTGATATCGGGTATGACATCGTATTGGCGTATTAGTTCCGAGGTGTGAGGCTGAGGCCAATCGCATTCATCTCTGTCCGACAGGTTATCCACATCGGATTGGTCGCTAGTCAGCTTTATGCTTTGGATCCCTCCAAGCTTAACCGCAGACGGCGCGACTTGTGTCGGGTTATTATGAAAGTGGGAACAGTGATCTCCCGAGACCGAGCATTTATGAGACGCAAGCCTCAGGTGTAATTCTGAGCTGCATCGAAGGCATACTCACGTTGAGTTTTCTGCTCTTTGTGAGAATTGAGTCATTTGAAGTAAGTGAGTAAGGAGGGAGAGGCAATGAGAGTGAGATGCTTTTAGTCTGTGCATGGCCACATACCCCTAGGCCTACCTAGGGCTAGCGTGATCAAGAGACCCCACCAACCGGTGTTCAGCCGAGTGGCCCCGCCTCTCCGCGCCGCGTCCCGCAGCCTTGCAGCTCGCAGGAAAATTTCTTGACAAGAGCTTCTGCTGTAGGCGGGCGCAAAAACTCCACCTGCATTGTACGGACGATGAGAACGTCCGCCACCTCGATTCGAACATGGCGACCGACGATGCTCCTCAACCGACCGGCGGTGCTCCCGCGAGGCAACCTGCCGACCTGCCGACTGGCGACAAGCCGTCAATTCCATCAGAGTCCCGCGCAGATGGCTCAGCCCAGCCCGGTGCTGCAGTGGAAAAATCACAGGAGGGCCGACGCGGCGACAGGCGCGACGACAACAGGCGAGGCGGCAAGTCGCGCGGGCCGAAGCGGAAGCACGACGTCGGCCGGTCGGCGTGGAGGTAAGCTCTGTCCTTGTCAATTGACTTGTTATTTGTATTTGCGACTGGCGCCAACGATGTCTAACCAGGGAATAGCCGTGAGGCCACCGACAAGCGCGGACGCAATGCCGAGTACCAAGAATTCAAGCGCAGAAAGGTAGACAAGGACGGCAACCCCGAGACCACCGAAAACCCTTTCACCGCCGAAGAGATCGCCGCCGAGGGTCGCAAGCCGAAGCGAAAGGTGGCCGTCATGGTCGGATACTCAGGCACGGGCTATAAGGGCATGCAGATCAACAATGAGGAAAAGACAATTGAGGGAGACTTGTTCAAAGCCTTTGTTGCTGCTGGAGCCATCTCAAAGGCCAATGCCGATGACCACAAGAAGTCGAGTCTCGTCCGATGCGCGAGAACCGACAAAGGCGTCCACGCTGCTGGCAACGTCATCAGCTTGAAGCTCATTATCGAAGACGAGGACATTGTGGAGAAAATCAACGCTGCTCTCCCCGACCAGATCCGTGTCTGGGGTATCCAGCGTACCAACAACTCCTTCAGCTGCTACCAAACCTGCGACTCGAGATGGTACGAGTACCTCATGCCGACATACTGCCTACTGCCCCCTCATCCCGACAGCTGGCTGTGGAAGCAGCTGGTTGAGGCCGCGAAGGAGAAGGGCTACTACGAGGAGTTCTCAAAGAAGCTGGCCGATGTCGAGGGATACTGGAGAAAGGTTGACGAGGAGGACATCAAGCCGATCCTCGACAAGCTCGATCCCGAGACCAAGGCCAAGGTGATGGAGCGAATCCACGCCGACGAGGATGCGACCGCACAGGCAGACGAGGCCAAGTCCGCCCCCGAGACGAAGACTGAGGAGACACCAGCCGAGCCCGCCACCACCGAGGAGAACAAGGCCCCCGCAGAGGTCCCCGAAGGAAGCGTCAAGCCCAGAAACCGCGACCTCACCCCCCTTGACTTTGCCCTGCGTGACATCAAGGCCGCTTACATTGCAGCCAAGAGACGTTACCGTGTTACCCCCGAGCGCCTCGCTCAGCTTCAGGAGGCCCTCAACATGTACTGCGGCACAATCAACTTCCACAACTACACCGTCCAGAAGAGCTTCAAGGACCCGTCAGCCAAGCGCCACATCAAGTCCTTCAAGGTCAACATGCAGCCGATTCAGATTCGCGACACCGAGTGGGTCTCCACCAAGGTCCACGGACAAAGTTTCATGATGCACCAGATCCGCAAAATGGTCGGCATGGCTTCCCTCGTCGTCCGTTGCGCCACCCCACTGGAGCGCATCAAGGAGAGTTACGGTCCCACGAGGATCGCGATTCCCAAGGCTCCTGGTCTGGGTCTTCTTTTGGAGCGACCCGTGTTCGATGCCTACAACAAGCGGGCGGCGGACAACTTTGGCAAGGAGACGATCGACTTTACGAAGTACGACGAGAAATTGCAGGCCTTCAAGGATAAGCAGATCTACCAGCGCATCTTTGAGGTTGAAGAGCAGGAGAACACGTATGGGATACCCTATCCTTTCTATTTAATACATTTACTGATCATGTCTCCAGCTTCCACATCTTCTTCCAGCAGGTAGACAACTTCAAGTCCGACTATTTCCTGTGGCTCACGGCTGGCGGCATCGAGGCTGGAGGGGTTCGAACCGGAAAGGAAGAGAAGGGAAGCAAGACCCTCGAGTCGGCGCTTGGTGACGAAGACGAGAACCCTGTCAACGGTGACGGTTAAATCAGCCAGATCAGGCGATAGAGTTGCTGGATGTGGAGGATCAGGGTTGACAGCGCAGCGGTGACTGCTCATAAAAATGATACGATAGAATCAAAAAAGCATAAAATTCCCTTTTCCGTCCTCTGTATACGGGTATCAGCGTTGCGTGTTCAGAGATACGTCGTCCTCATCTCGAGAACCCCAAGCCCAAACGCCAAAGCATGCAAATTGTAGTTTTCGCCATTCTTCCTCCGACTTCTAAAGTCAATCCACAATCCCGTACCTATGCAGCACCACCAGCCCCATTCGGAGCCGTCGGAGCAGCAGGTGGGGGAGCAGCAGCAGCAGCCGCAGCAGCACCCTCTCCAGCTGCACCATCCGCGCGACCCATCGGCACCCATTTGCCCCCTGCCGCGGCTGCAAGACCAGCGAACCGCGTCTCCTGGATGGCGTTAAGGAGCTCCGCGCACCGAACCACATCGGCCTGGAGCTTGTCTGCCTGAATGCGAGCGTCGCCTTCTCCCTGTCCTAGCTTGCCGAACAGCCAGAGCTCTTTGAGGCGGCGGCTGAGTGCGAGGAGGTCTTTGATTGATGCGTGCTGCGGTCTCATGGTCAGCCGGGTGTTGTGTTCATTCTCCGAGGTGGAAGGTGGGCGCAATTGGCAGCGTGCGTCTGGATTTCAGGAGAATTTGGGGATAGAGTGGTCAGTGGTAGCATACCAGTCCTTCAAATTCCATTTGCATCGACATGCCCGTCACAGCGACCGTCTGCGGCTCAACGTTCTTACGCTCTCCTTCAGCTTGGATCGTCGCGAGCATTGTGAGCATCCGGAAGCGGGAGAGAACGTCGGCAATGAGCCGATTATGCGTGTCCAGCAGATTCGATGAGTCTCGTGAGGTGTCCATGGTGCCGGATTTTTATGGTGTCGATACTTGTAAGAGGGAGTTTGTGAGGATGGCGGCGTTGGAGGTGAGGTGAGAGGTCAGAGCTCCTGCTGAATCTTGAATTCCTGGTGGGGCGGTGTGGTGGGGGTTCCTCGGTGTACTGTGACCTCTAGGGCCTTACCGAGCCTTTACACCGAAACCGTCGGTCAGCGACAAAAAGCACTCTTGATCGCATGAAAAGGAGCCAGCAATCAGTATGTTCGCTAACACAGTTGAATGGACATGAAATACAATCTCACTGTTGAAATTTTCAATAACGGTGGAAGAAATCGATCTGACCCTAAGTCAAAGGAGCCGTTCCAAACAGTGAGCTTTGGCTGCGGCCAACGTTCTTTGTCAAACAACACATCGCATATTAACAAGGGCTGCCGGGTCAAGTTCACGACCTGCCGCATCATTTCCTTGACGTATTCCAGAGGTCTTCATCCCCCGAGTGACTGATTATAAAGTGTGTATGTTCTCAGGCCGGAGTTCCTTCTCATCAACTCATTTCCCACCTATATTTCAAGCTCGACTCAGATACAACACTTCAAGCTGAAAGCAAATCATTCAAGTGGGCAACATTACCTTCCAACACTCCAACAACCCAACATGACTACTTATACCATCAACCCCAACGGTCTGTTCCCAGACTCATATGTCCTCGGGGGCATGCCTGAGCTCGGCGAGGATACCGACGATACCAAGGTTCAGGTACAAGTCCTTCAGAATAACATGATCTTTTGCGCCTTCCTGTTGAATTTCAAAGGAAGTCAACCTCCACCTGGGATTCCCCGTCAGTTGTTTGTACGGATCCAAAAGTACGAAAAGAATGAATCTCCCCTGGCAACTGCTGCAATCACGAACCTAGCCCGAACCGTCCTTCCTTCGCTGGTTCCGAAGGTCTGGGGTTCTGGATACAGTTGGATGAAAGACGGTACGAAGCTTTCTTATGTCCTTTCTCAATGGTACCCGGATGCCTGTCCACTGGAAACAGTGTGGGATGACTTGGACGTCGAAAATCGAGGAGAAATTGTCGGAGATTTATTCGAGGCAGTGTCCAAGTTGTGCAGCCTCTCCTTGCAGAAGCTGACATTCGAGCAATGGCAATTACTCCGGAACACCCCATTCGAGACAAAGAAGACGGAGCTCTCCATCCTAGTCGGCGGTCCGCCTTACGGATATCATACCGACTTTGCTTCCCTAATGCGCCGTAACCTCTGCCCCCGAAACGCCGATTGCGCGGTGAACGGAAGGACTGATGGGACTTTGGTCGTGAGTGTGCATGCGCCCGAAGCGGAACACTTCGGGTTCGCTGAAACAGACTTGGATCTGCTAACTCAAAGCTCAGTCTTGTGCCACAACGACTTGGAGCCCCACAACCTACTTGTTAAGAAGGTCTATACCGAGCGCGGTGATGAGTACAGGCTTGTGGCCATACTCAACTGGGATCAAGCAGGCTTCGTTCCATTTGCCTTTGAGGTTGCTCGAAAAGATCTACATCTGGGCTTGCGGAACTTCAACTGGAGCTGGTACGATATGTATCGGCAACTTGCTGGCCATCGACTTTTCGACACTCCAGGTCGTCCGATTTGGTCAAAGCTGATCCGGTGCCTGATGGCTGTTCATTCTTCCTCCCAGGCTAAGATTACTGAGATATCTACTCCGGACGGCACGGCGCAGATGTTGTGGCTGGAGAATGAAGGTCTCACGTTCTCCACTCTTGTTGAAGAAGGGTGGGTGAAGCTGCGCTCTTTTGTCAAATTCCCGTCCGATGACGAGCAGGATATTTGGGATCCTTAGGAGTGCCATAGCCCACCTGCAAGACTGTGGGGGTATTACATGTGCCTTATAAGAACACAACCTCAAAATATAAATGCATTTGATCTTGATTGAAGTGTGAATGCTTTCTTCCTCAACATGTTACCAGAAGATAATGTGGAACTAACAGAACCGCGGAAGTTTGGTCCCAGTGACTAACGTGGCTGCATGAGTGTCGCTATGGTCAGAACGAAGAATCCATCAGAGCATCTGAATAGTCACTAAATCTTCTTGGATGATTTTATAAGAGGTCTGTGAATCTAAACTTCAACTGAAATTGAGGTATCTGAGTTTCCATACTGGAGTCGAGCATATATGCTTAAGGGGCAGCGGAGAGCCGGGCGGAGGGTCGGAGGGTCGGACCTTAAGTCCATAGCCGCTCCGGGATTAGCGCTTACATGTACACTTCCCGCATTTACAAAGCTGCGAAAACAACCGAAATGACCCGTGACTTCATCACTACTCCTAAAGATCAACAACTCATCTGCTAAAATCTGCGAATTTCGTAGTCTTGTTCTCAACTTTCAACTCCAATTGTTTGCAGTCTCCCAGAACGCGAATATGGCATATCCTGCGCTAGCTGCCAGACCTCGTCCTCCGGGTACACCGACGAATGTCTCATCTCAACCTCAACCTAGTGCCAGTCGACGGCGAGATAAACCTCAACTTTCCTGTAATAGTTGTCGACGCCGCAAGTAAGTCTGAATCTTTATTTACCATTTCGGCTGACCCGGGCTTCTAACACACTGCTCAGGATTCGATGTGATCGTCAACGACCCTGTAGAACCTGCTCCTGTAGGGGTCAGGATTGTGTCTATCCAGAAACCAACGACACCATCCCACCTCCAAAGGTCACATCTAGTGGCGCTCCCAATATAAGTCTGCAAGATCGTCTAGTCCACCTCGAGCAATTGGTTACAATGTTGGGGTCATCGGAAAACCGAACGAGTCAGATCGGTACGCCTGCAAACATACCTACGCCAATTGACGATCGCTCAGAGACGGGGAGTATGCGGTCAAGCGCTATGGAACACCAGTATGTCGGCAGTGAACACTGGTCAGCGATCATGGAGAGTATTGCCGATTTGAAAGACCACTTCGATCGAGAGGAACAGTCCAAGCTGGCAGAAAGTCCAACAGCAGATTACTGCTTTGAAGACCAAAGCTCTTTCACCCAACGCCGAAGGTGGCAGCGCCCCTTGCTTTTGTACGGATGCCAACCTGCAGCTTCAAGGTCAGAAATCCTGTCCACCCTGCCGCCAAAAAACGCAGTAGACCGCTATATATCTCGGTATTTTAACCGTCTAGACCTCGTCTCTTCCTGTATGTCTTTTCGCGCCTTGTCTTGGCCGATTGCTTGGATTTGAGAGTATCCCTTACTAATGCACAGCAGCGTCCGTCCATGGCCCAACGTTTCTCAAAGAGGTAAGCGTAATTTCTCTACATTTAGCCAGGTCGATTGACTGATAGCGGCATGGGTGATAGTACGAACAATTCTGGCGCGATCCCAACGACACTTCCACAATGTGGATCGGTCTTCTTTTCAGCATGATTTGCTTAGCTGTCATCGCATCAGACCCTTCCACTGACGCATCTGAAGATGGCCACCAACAGCTGCAAATAGAACTGTACCGAGAGAAACTGGTACAATGTCTGCTGATGGGAGAGTATACTCAAGGTGGCGACTATGCGCTAGAGACTTTCATGAATTACGTCTACGTTGAATTCAGGATACATGACGACGCGCAGAGGGATGTTTGGTTCTTGCTTGGCCTCGAAGTCAACCTAGCCAAACGAATGGGGTACCACAGAGATCCCAAACACTTCCCGGAAATCACCCCGCTAAAGGCAGAGATGAGGCGCCGAGTATGGGCAACCGTACTACTGGGAGACATCTTGATCTCAGGTCAGATGGGAATGCCCCGCATGGTACGAGATGGTGAGTTCGACACAGCCGAGCCACGGAATTTGAACGATGAAGACCTGCACGGAGAAATGACAAGCCTACCACCGCCAAGGCCAGAGACAGAGCATACAACAGCCCTGGGGATCATTGCTCGAAGGAGACTTCTGATCGCTCTAGGGACCATCTCCGACCTTGCAGCATCCCTCAGCCCAAGTAGTTACGCGGACATAATGCGACTTGACGGGATTCTTGAGCAGGCATACAACAACATCCCTCTACCACTCCGCATGAAGTCTATGGCCTCCAGCGTCACCGACTCCCCCCAAGTAATCATGGCCCGCCTTTTCCTTCGCCACATGTTTTGCGAGGGAAAAATCATGTTGCATCGTCGGTTCCTCTTCGCAAAATCGACTATAGAGCATGATGACACGTACTCATACTCAAGGACAGCTTGTCTTGATGCAGCTCTTGGAATGCTACAGATCCAACAAACTCTAGACGAAGAAACGTGCCCCGGCGGCCAGCTCTTCATGATGCACTGGAGGGTAGGATCTATCATGAACCACCACTTCTTGACAGCCACCATGGTCCTCTGTTCGCTGGTTTATCAAAGGCAAACTTTGGGCCGAGAGAACGAGATATTGACTGCGTTGAGGACTGCTCGCAGCATCTGGATGAGAAAGGCCGAAGACTCAGTTGAAGCGAAGAAGGCATCACAAGCAGTTAGCATCGTCCTTGCGCGAGCTGGAGGTCCGAGGTTCGATGCTACCCTTGTAGCTGACCGGCCTATCCAACTGCTTTCAGAGCCTATCGCAAATTCGAAAGATGCTTTTCTGGAAGGTCTTGTTGGAGATCAAGTCATGCTTGATGAGCACATATTTTTGACCGAGGCTTTCATGTCAGATGAAAGGGAGAACGGTGAGTACGAACTTGAAACACAAATAAAGGTTGAACATTGGAATGGCTGATGGTTTTCACATGCAGGCATGGACTTTTTCTCGCCTTTCAATCGCCTTCCCGACGAGCTACCAACAGGTAGGCTCTGCAGCAAACAATCTGGAGGCCCAGCAAGTCATGGGGACTCAACTATAAGTGAATGGGTGATTATGGGTGATCAAGGACAGTATCAGTGAAGTATTATCAATTTTGCATCAAATCTTGATTCACAGTAAAGTCAATGGTCAAACGTGCAATTTCAGATGCGGAACTGTAGCTATAGAAGCCGAGGTTTCTCTTTGATATGATAATTGGGATCAGACCGTTTGCGATCTCTCCATCATTTTTCTGTTTGCCATTCATCCCCATTCTGACTACCCCAGTGTCCTTAGAGATATCTGGACATCTCAGTGTCTTTGTTTCGAGGAGTCGTCTGCTTCACATAACAGTGCAGAAGGCACACAGCGCTCCAGGGTAGCATCCATCGGCAGGCCTGATACTCTGTCAGATTCGTCTGCTATAGATATCTAATGATTCTAAATACTTACCAGACGCCACAGCAAAAGCCATCGTGGTCGATGCAGCCTCCACGCAGATGCATTTGCTCTTGAGTTAGGTCGGATTGCTGTTCTGCCGGAGCGCCAGGGGAAGAGGCAGGTTGAGTATCCTGCGGACCAGGTTCTTGTTCGTTCTCGCCCGCCATTGAGTATGCAGGTATTGATTGTGATGGAATGTGCGCAGAAATATCTTGTAGCCTAAGGTAGGTATTTGTGTTATTGAGACTTTCCGCAATTGAGAGACAGACGAGAGGGCAATCTTACGGGAAGGTAAGCCCTTTGAGGCTTTATTGACGTGACGTTCTGAATTGAGGTTTTTGGTGAATAAGAAGTGACTGCTGACGTGAATGGTGACATGCATCAGCAGACTGTGAATACATTCACTGTCGAGACGGGAGGAAAGGAACAATATATTCCCGGTGATGCAGGTGTTTTGGAAGGCCTGCCTCCAGAGGCAGTAACAATACTTTCTGTGGTATTTTCCCTTACTTAAAAATATTGATCAACTCCTTCCTCTTCTGTTCTCATCTTGGTCACATGGTGTTTTCATTAAGGCCAAGTTAAGAGGAGGAAGGAAGCAACGCCCATAGGTTTTAGGCAGGAAGGTTCGGTCAAGTCATTGAAGAATGGAAGGCACAAGGGGTTTCAGTCAATATAGGCAGGGCCTCACAGTAGGTATGAATGAAAGGAGTACCAGAGGTCTTGTCATGAGAGAAACAGAAAATAGGACAATCTTGAGCTCAAAGAAAGAGTCCAAATCACAAGATGGAGCGTGATATACCTAGGCGCCTGAATATGTAGAAGGTGACAAGTCATGGCCTCCGGCTAGAATATAACTCAATGTTTCATGGTGAAATTTTGTCACGCTTTAGGTATAAAGATTTAGGCAACATATCGATTAGATCTTGCCGCGTTTTATTGAATTTAAGTCATTTATCAAGAACAATTGATGGGCAGGCATACTTCACAGCAAACTTGGCTCACTGGTCGGGCATAGCGGGGCTGGGGCTGTGTTCCAGGTCGCGAATCCTTCGATGGTCAGCTGACAGGCGCGTCAGCGCCGCACCGATCAAGCGAGAGGCACCCGGCGGTGTAACAAGTTACGGAATCTTTGATGGTTGCCTACAGTATAACTGATGCACTTAGGACATATCTAGCAGTCAACATTTCCTATCGACCTTACCCCTATCTAAGCGCGCCCAAGCTAGCTATTCCTGCTAGCAACGCCAGCCATCAAGATATCAACATAAACCACCTTGCTCAGGCTCAAGCATGTCAACTGCAACAGATCAGCAAAATCTGCCACAGGAAGGTGCACGCTACCCGACCAAGTATCGCCGCAACATTCCTAGGTCAAAGAATGGCTGCTTGACATGCCGCGCTAAACGGAAGAAGTGTGACGAACGCAGACCATGTTGCACGTCCTGTGCCCGCACCGGACGGGAATGCACATGGCCTGTATCTGCAGAAGATATCGTCAATAAGAGTACCAGAGACATCCTTCCAAAACAAATACCGTCAACAAATGAAACCTCGGAGAGCAATGGATCTGCTCAGCAGCATACGACGCTACCTAGTCGACCTAGAGCAACCGTTCCGACGACGGCATCTATCCCGGAAGTACTTGAGAACACATCATCTCTGCGCGCATCTCTCACATTTGGGACTCTTTCAAACTTAAGCAGCAGTTCAAGGCCGCTGTATGATCAATACCTCGATATGACCGCGGAGCTACTAGCTCGTGGTCCTAGCGCAGATGGTAACCCGTTTATCAACTATGTGTTACCTCTAGCGGCTTCCGATAGTCTTGTGATGGACTGCGTTCTCGCTATCGGAGGAGCACATATGGCCGTTCTAGAGCCTGATCGCCCGCAGTTGGAAGTCATGACTCGAAGGCATTATGCCCGGCTGCTTGAAGGACTACGAAAAGCGCTTTGTGACGATGCGGCGTGTCCATTTGGCGAACGCGATGAGGACAAGAAGCTCTACACGCTTCTGATTCTCATCATGCTATGCATTTTCGAAGTAAGTCATTTGTCTATTTCTCTTGTCAGCATGTTGCATCCGACTAACCTTGTGCAGGGGGTTCAAGGCGATAACTCGGGGGCCGTCTATCATCATATTCGAGCTAGCCGTCATTACGTGATGGAATTGGCAGCTGACACCTACAAGCCATCAGCTTCAAAGAAGACTGAGCATATCCGTGGCTTTCTCCTGGAGATATATGCCATGTTCGCTCTAAAGTTAGCAGTCACGCCACGAGGCTTGCAGGAGGAGAACCCCGTGACAGTGGATCCTTTTCTCGGCTCTCTAGAATTTCTGGGCCAATTCAAGTCGCGAGGATTCATGCTAGGTTTTGGCCATGGGCTCTTTGCCATGATACCAGATATCTCAAATCTTCTTGAGAAGCGTAGGAGAGAGGAACTGAGTGGGTCCACATCCGATGGTCTGTTCGAATCTTACAAGTCACTTTTGAAGAAGCTAGACTCATTGGATCCCTCATCCGACGTTCTTGAAGACGAAGACGCATGCCCTCGCTACCAACAATCAACAGCCGTCGCCATCTACCGCACCGCCTTAATTCTCATCGTCCATTCTGCCTTCCACCAAGATATACATAAGAACGCGAAACTCCTTGCTGAGATCGAATCTCGGATAGACAAGATATTGCCTCTCTGTTGGGCCGTTTATACCAGCAAGTCACCGCTGCGGAGGATGATGCTGTGGCCGGGGTCGATTTTGGCATCCTGTTGTAAGAAGCCAGAGCACGTCCACGCTTTTCGATTGGGACTAAACTCGAATCCGCGATCGCCAGGTGGTGTACGAGAAGCGGCTAAAGCGGTTGAACTGTTGTGGCAAGATGATGATCCGAGAGCTTATGGACCTCGAGGGTTGAACATGGTGATGAAGAAACACGGTCTTAGCTTTAGCATGTGCTGAACGGACTGCTTAGTAATCTGGGTAAATGGGATTCTTCTGGTTAGTAAGTTCACATGTTCTGTAAATATAGAGAGCTGCATTTAGGTACGCAAGTTCTCCGGCCTCCAAAGCGTACCTAAGTAGGTGGCTTACAGATCAGTCGTCCATAAGTGCATGAGTTCGTCCGAAGAAGTCTATAAGCATTATTCATAATCATTGTCTGCTAACGAAGAACAGGTATCGCAAGTCATAAAGGTATCGACGAAAGGCATCCGATCCACCACCTGTACTCCAAGTTTAGCAACCACCACCTCCACCGCCGCCCCCATCACCACCGCCTCCGCCTCCGCCACCTCCACCACCTCCATCGCAACCACCCCCTCCCCCATGGTGGCCGCCTCCCCCATGGTGACCACCTCCTCCGTGGTGTCCTCCACCGCCGCTATCACCGGCCCAGCCGAAGCCCCCAGCACTCACTCCCGTGTAGCCCGCGTTATAATCTCTGTGATTTCCGTGCATGCGGCTTCTGCGCCAGCCACCGCTGGAATCATTGACGTAGCCCGGCATGGCACCGTAATTTGGTGTACCGCCCATGGCTGGTCTTGGTGCGTACTCGGAGCCGCTATACGTGTGCTTCTTTGATCGAAATGGGATACACATCTTGAGCGTAAGGAATCGAGGTACCGAGAATCGTATGGAATTTGTTTGTAGTAGGTTGACCTTGAACAGTCCTTTTTGAAGAGGACTGTTGTATTTGAGGGTTTGGTATGAGTGCTTATTTTGTGTTCCCTTTGAGGTGGATGGAACGGTATGTCTATGTGATGAGATTGATATTGATGACGATGCAGATGTAGATACAGAGTACGGAGTAGATGGAAGGGACTGATGGCTTAAGTAGAATATCGAGTCATGGTAGAGAAAGTGAGGCTAAGTTTCCTGCCTATCCTACCTGTGTGCCTGCTAGGGGCGAAAGAACAAGCTTCGATGGAAGCCACGATCACCGGGAAGTCTGCCTTCCAGAAGGCTTCTAGCGGCGCGAAGGATCATGGATTATCCAGGATGAGCTCATAAAACTCCGAATAAGCGAATCGCAGGGTCCTAAAAGCTGTCACCTAAATCAGCCTTGCAATGAGCGACTTTCTGCCGCCCTGGGGACTTACGCAAAAGGGTAAGACATTGTACACTGATTTCAATCATCTGACCGGAGGGAGTGGATTCACGGGGCTGTTCCGCGTTGTGGGGCTCTTGCGGATTCCTGGAGGCAGGGAACGGGGACGAGCTAGCCGGAGCGGGGCCGGATCGGCGTCGTTGGCGAATGACGTAGCTCTACTGGCATAGCCGGGCACCGGGGCGCAGCGCACACAGCCTATGTACTGTGTATGCATTCAGCCCGCGATGATCAGCCGCACTCTCAGACCAACTATTACGTCATGCTTGGATCTGTCAAGCGATCAGTAGGGCCACGTGAGGGTGAGATGACTTGTCTTGCTGTAAGACTCACAGCTTCCCGCGGCCCGCTTTGCAGGCTGCAGGATTGAAGATATCACTGGAGGCTGGCTTATCATACACCGACGTTGAAATGTATGAGTGGTTTTGTTCAATTTGTTCTTGTAGAAATAAGCGTTGCTAATAATATGGCTTGAATGTTGGACGGCCTCTCACTCTGCTGCTTCTACTGACTTTCTTGCTCGCGACATGATCCACCCAACAGTCACTAGATA